TCAATTTGCACGGATCCTGGACATTGTCTAATGTCTGATGTGATGTTTGATCATAAAATAATTTGTCTTCTCACCGAGGAATGTTGTCACTTAGATTTTGCTTACTTCTGTTCCAGTGATACGTGATGCTCGATTACGTACTTAACGTATTGTCTTGATTCATTAAAGATCCCGAAAGGGTTTCTCATCTTTAACCCTTTGTTACTATTGTTACACGACCCGTTTCTTTTTTTTAATTCCTTTCAAACTGATAATTAGCGTGTGAACCTACACTGATATCGTTCTGAAAAATAACAGCCCCAGTCATTACGCTTTGCCGTAATCCGCTGAAATTCTGCACGGTATCAACAAAAGTCATACAGCTGGGCCCCGGGAACCAGCTTACAAAAGTCATCTGAAGAAGTATACCTGCTGACGTTAGCTCTGAGACAAAATATATGTTGGTGAGGTTTACTCCCATAAGAACTACATCCCAGATTAACTACAGGGATTAATTAGGGATTAATTATCTGAGTAGAGGCACCCCATGGCATGTAATGAGCACAGCCCATCAGCTCTCCCAGAAGAACTACATGCTTAAAATCCTATTGACCAGTAATTATGTTGTTGTAAAGGTAATCTGTGCACTGGACCATAACATGTGTTGTTTTAAGCTGTAGTTCTTATGGGAGGACACCCGTCAACACTGACAGCATCAATTTCATTATCCAAACCTTCGGCTTATAGTTTCATCGAGGAAACTGACAAAAGAGCTGACTGACCATTAGATGTTTTTGGAAGGTTACATATAAAAATTTATATTACCTACAAGGGCGAACATATCGGGGTTCATATTTTTCATACGATGCCCTAGGGCAAAATATCACTTTGTCATGGTGTCGTGATGTCATGAACAATGCTATGACGTCACGTTTCTTCTGTGACGTTGCGTTCTATACGCGGCGACGGCGGGTAGACAGCCTATGTTTGAAGTAGATTTGGGTTATTTTCCTCAATTTCACGACTTCGGTAATAAACAGAATATTATATTCGTGCCCATATCATACTATGTTCACGACACTCGTGCCGTAAACATAGTATGACATTGGCACTCATATAATATCCTCTATTTATGAATGTCAACACGATGTTTAGTTCCCTTGATGAAGGAGTAAGAGTACACGTCAAAACGCGGTGTTCCTCATTATAAAGAAGTTGATATCCACATATTTTAACATTTTCTTTTATGTGCATCACTTCTAATTGACGTTCAAAGACTTTCCACTTAGAATATAGCTGCGAGGATGTTCTTCAGTTGAAGACAAAAGTCATTTGATCTGTTCCTGATGAAATAAGGGTTTTTGTAACAACCAGGCATGACTTCAAAGTCTTCAGAGACTTCAGAGCAATGTTCAAGTTGTTGGGGCGAGATTTGAATGACATGCAGTAGGCAATGGTTTGTTTGTGTGCTGTTTATCGCGGAATATTCCAGCTACGTGACGGCAGTCTGTAAATAATCGGGTCTGGACCAGACAATCCAGTGGTTAACATCATGAGCCTCTACCTACGTAATTGGGATACGATGACATGTGTCAACCAAGTCAGCGAGCCTGACCACCCAATCGCCTCTTACGACAAGCATGGGTTATTGAAGATCAATTCTAACCCGGATCTTCACGGGTGGCAATGACACGAACACTTTGAGGGTAGCGTTAGAAACCGGGGATCTGGAATCACCCTGTGGATTTGCAACAGCTGAACAGGACTGCGTTTACTTGTCCATCCTGACTTTAAGTTCAGCTTCCGCACCTGTACACAGGTTTTATTGGGGCATCCATCACATTTTGAGAATTCAAAATGAGCAGCGCAAATTTCCAGTTTATCATCACCACTGCAAACAGAAGACCAAGATTTGGTTTTGAATTCAGATCACGCTGACATATGAAATTACGTAAGACGTTTTGGCTAAACACGGGATGAATTAAACCATGACAACCCTCTCAGGGAAGATGGAGAAAGACGTGTGAGTTGCACAGATAATGTAGTTTTGTGTTTTCCTCACAGCAAACATTTAGTAAGTATGGCGACAGTAAGGTCAACAAAATGTCAGAGATGTGTATATATACAGATGTTGTAGTTTTGTGTTTACCTCATAGCACACATTCGGTAACTATAGAGACAGCAAGATCAACATTATATCACACCTTTACTCTCAAAGAGACCTTCGTTTATGTAACACTACTGAGTGAAAAATCAATGATGTTCACAATGAACAACGACATCGCCTTTGTCTACGTTCGGAATGTGCTCGACTACAGTCATAGAGCTGGGATATTGCCGGGTTCGTCGTCATAAAGCAAACCCAACTAATGTGCCTTACACCATCTGTTTGGTTGTGACAAGTCAAAACAACTTGATTGGTCTTTTGAAGACGCCAGCAGGGGTCGATAGGAGGGAAATGACAGTCTAATTGACCATTGAGACTGGTATATTGGACTCATTGTTGACGGCGCTCTGAATGAAGGATGTTCCCAGAGTGTCTGTTTCCAGGCTTTGGAAAATACGAGTTCATCGTATTCAGAATACTCTGCGTCCTCCAAATGTGTAAACTATACCATATATCACTTCACCGTCCAACGATAGATCCTTGGGAAGCTCTCTTAATCCATATTTTATAGAAAAAACTTCCCTCGATGGAAAACATGGTGTCACCAGAAAGGGACGTAACTCGTAATTTCTTTGTGAAATGTCTGTAACATGTGCTGTATATATACTTGTATTACTTGTATATGGGCCGGAGGCCTTAAGTACAATAAATATCTTTGACTTTGACTTTGAATACTCTGCGTCAGTAGAATGTTGGTTCGAACTCTATATCAGAGGCGATTTCGATAATTAATGGAAAACAAAAATACCGTGAAACCGTGAAAAGCTGCAGGCTCTAAGGACCCAGAACCATCAAAAGTTGTGGGTCCTGATCAGATTGTGTAGGCCCTGTATTTTATCTACAACATAAGTAATTCCCAGCATACAAAGTATGAGTTTAAGAGTTTAATTTAACCCTAAAGAACTGTCGGAAATAGAAAAAAAAATCTTTTTTTTCACATTTATATTTACAAGCTAGGTAGTTAATATGTGAAAGTGTGAAATATCTGTTGAACTAAGTTCGGCCTAACTACAGTCTCAGTGGTAGGGAGATAGGAAACGTTAAAAAAGGATTTTACAGAGGAGAGATTAGTGCAGAAATGAGCAATGCGGTTTTTTTCAAAGTCCGAAGAGACTTATTTGGAGCAGACCATGGCTTTATGCAAATTAGTGTGCGATGATATTGTATAACAAATGACACTTTGTGAATGTCCATTTTGAAATTAGACTAAGCTTCATAATAAACGATATCGGACGCAAAAAATAACAACTTTAATACTGAAACTATTAAGGATATAGATACCATTGAGTCTCACTATCACTATTAAAAGAAACAGGTAGGAGGGGTCGTCTCAAAAGCAAAACCAAGACGCGTGTTGCTGACGGTAGTTGGGGTCGGGCTTGGGGATAGAGATATTAGCTAAGATTAGAAAATCAGTAGAGACATATTCAATACACATGAAAAAGCATAAAAGATATTTGAGATGACCCCTTGTGTCTGTGGGCAGCACGTGCATTACATGCCAAGTGAGTTGACGGTCCGTCGTCATACCTGGCTGAGCAACCTAATTGCCATCTATAGTCTGATCTATTGTTTTCAGCAACTATTATTATTTTTTCTAAGTTTTGCCCGATTTTACGAGTAAACATGCTTTTCCGGATATCCTATTACGCATCCCACTGAATGCCAAGTTAGGCCGAAGTGGGTTATTTCGACATATGCTATTTGCAGTTGTGTAAATTTTAGGGATACAGAGTAACAGACTAAAAACAGTATTTTTTCTATTTCCGACAGTACTTTAGTTGTACCTCTGTATAGTGTCTGTAGCATGTCTGTATAGGGTAGGGGCGGTGGGGTAGCCTTGTGGTTAAAGTGTTCGCTCGTCACGCAGAAGACCCGTTCGATTTCCCACATTCCCTGTGATCACCGTGGTCGCCTACTGAATGAGTGAGTGAGTGAGTTTAGTTTTACGCCGCACTCAGCAATATTCCAGCCATAGAGAGGCGGACTGTAAATAATCAAGTCTGGACCTGGTAATCCAGTGATCAACAGCATGAGCATCGATCTGCGCAATTGTGAACCGATGACATGTGTCAACCAAGTTAGCGAGCCTGACCACCCGATCGCGTTTGTCGCCTCTTATGACAAGCATGGGTTACTGAAGGCCAATATTCTTACCCGGACCTACACTGGTACCTATTGAATGAAGCATCGCCCAGATCTAGGAAAGTAAGTCGTTTAGTCACGTGTTGACATACCAAAAGGCATCAATATCTATCAGGTGTTGCCTTAACTGCCATTACGGGATAAAACAATGATGATTCCCTTAAGATCGGGTTTGTCGTAAGATGCAACTGACTGGATCAGGCTGCTGACTTGGTTGACACATGTCCTACCTCACCTGAGTAGATTCATGCTCATGATGTCAATCACTGGATTGTCTGGTCCAGACTTGATTGTTTACAGACTGCTGTTATATTGCTGAAATATTGCTGATTGAGGCATTAAGCAACAAACAAACAACCTTCATTCAAAATGTTTTATTCGCCATCAATTAAAACCTTAAAAACAATATCCACAGGCACTTGCTGCAAAACATGAATATCACATGTGAAGTCAAACCTGTGTGATCCCTAAATCCCAACAATCTGCACCAAGAGCTTGAGCATCAGCTCCTCCAGTACAAGCCTGTATACACCACTCAAAATAAGTTAAGGAACCCTGATTGTTCCATGTTACCATAGTTAATCTGTCTCCAACTATTTCTGTACAAACCTGTATTAGCCTATAGGTAACACCATCTTTGCATGCTTTAATACAAAAGCAGCTGATTTAATTTATTCATACAAGTGCAGATTGATCACCACCATGTAACAACAGACCCTCATCTGATATTCATTTTAAATGCAAATCTTTTCAGATATAAGGACTGTCCACCTTCAAATTTACCACTACTATAACATCTTACAAGTCGGTCTCCGGTACTGAGCGGAGAATGGAAATATTGGATGTGATGGACACTTCTAACATATTTTGAGGTAGCTGCACTAGAAGGTATCTATGCACCTGATGTAAATATTATCTTACTTTGTATTATGTAACTCTGATACTCTGACAGAAAGATACATGTGTATATAAACAGACAGTTCTTTTATATACTGAGGAAACATATAAGGGATCACATGAAAGCACCAGTGTTCCTTTATTTTTTTCCAGGTTTCTTCACAAACTTTGTATCGGATAGCTTGTGAAGAAATATGGAAAAAAATAAAGGAACACTTGTGCTTTCATGTGATCCCTATTTTCTTCCCTCAGTATATATTACACAGCATAACCTCACTCCCATCAACCCCTGCTGCAAACAGGTTGCATATACATGTATGGTATTTGTAACTATACACACTTACACACTGGAGTAAACCAATAGAAATCTTAAAGACATTAGTTAATATGAAATCTTACTTGCAGATGACTGGGTAAGTACTATGTCTAGTGTAGTTTTCAGGGTCCCGACCCACAGAGACTTCGTAACGTTACGACTTGTCGTAGTTCTGTAGTTTTTCATAGGCTTACGAATATTGTATTGCAATGAACACTTTGTAGATCGGACCCCTGGATGACTGTGTACAAAGCACCAAGACACCGATATCACTATTGGCAATGTTCAAGGCTGTGATGGAGGGCAGACTCAAGAGAGACGGGGCACAAAGTTACAATTATTGCATTTTCATTTTGTCATTAACACATCTACAATAAATATATGAGACACCAAACCCTCATATGAACTATGTTCACATTAGATATATACATGAATTCAGGTATGCAAGCATGTGTGTGCACGTGTGTGCATTCGCATGTGTGTAAGCATGTTTCTGTGTGCAAAGTATGTGTGCATGGTTGGTGCATGTGTGCGTGAGTGCCTTTGTGTGGGAGTATGCGTGCATTTTATGCATCATGTATCACATATATCACAATAATGTATCATATATTGTCGTGAATGAAATATATGTCATTTAGTGTATATCGAGTATTGTATCATGTATCATATTGTATCAACCATGTCGATCAACATTCTCTAACACAGAGTGGATGAAACTGCCCATAAAATCTATGGTCGATGTAAACACTCATTATTCTACACTTCCTCATAACTGGACAAAAAAGGCAATATAAATATATCTGTAGGTAAATAGTATTTGAAACACATCCCACCAGTAAGTGGGTCCATCTCCAGGTCCGAAGATTAAGCGTCATCGAGCAGAACATTATTGCAGACGTTACCCTCGATGTTCATGGATCAGAGTTGGACGCCTGGTGGCCTTTAGGGACCACAATCCAAACAAAGACGAAGGGGTAATTATAGAATCCGATAAGGAACATTGTCACGTTGTCGCATTGTCGCGTTGTCGCCCTCTCAAAAACAAGCAAAAAAGGTAAAATTAACCAAAGCGCGACAATGTCCCTTCAAAATTCCATAAGTAATGTCCAGTATGTACAGTTTCCTTTTTCAATATATACAAAAAGCCGACAACCCATGACAAGAAATCTTTTTAAAAAAATAATTAAGAAACGAAGACAGAAAGTTGAAAGATGTACAGTGCAGACATACAGAGGTAAAGAGGTGGAATGACAGTCATAATTCATACTAATCCAAAATTGGACGTTTTGACACCATTAAAACGGTTGATACTATCCATAAATTCCTGCTAATCTTGTCAGATGATTTTCAACAGTTTGAACAGACAAATCTAGCTGTAAATATTTGAAAAAAAAGAAAGTTCATGAAAAACTAATTATCACACCGAGGCTGACATACAACTCCAGGCTTAATGAGAGAGATGTCTGAGGAACTTAGCCTTAGCTTAATGAAATGACTGACCGACTGAGTTTGGTTTTACGCCGCTTTTAGCAATATTCCAGCAACATCACGGCGGGGGACACCAGAAATGGGCTTCACACATTGTGCCCATGTGGGGATTCGAACCCGGGTCTTCGGCGTGACGAGCCAACGCTTTAACCATTAGGCTACCCCACCGCCCCCTTAATGAAATGAAGGAGAAACATTCATTACTAACTTGTATATGGTTGAATGAATAACAAATATGCAAGTACATATTGCATTCTTGAAAGACAGTGACATGGAAATATCCAATTCAGGTGCCATTTAAGTACCAAGTACCAAAATGCAACATTAGGACAGTTTTATTTAACCCTTGACAATTTCGACGATATTGACTTTTCCGTACATGCTAATACGGGTCAATTGTCAAGTCGGTGCTCAACTTATCCTTGTTTGCCAGTAATGATGTATACACCCGTGCTTGTTCCTTGGAGTCAACGTGTTTGGGTTTAAAGTATGCGCTCATCGTTGCTTTGTAGATAACTTGAAACAGAAGAAACGGAAATTTGACCACGATAGAATCAATTTCATCGTCATGCAATGCAGGTGCACTAGCCTACATCTGCTCTACCTTTCATAAACCAAATGGGTTTGCTCATTGCCGTGCACCGCCTACTTCCCGTAAAGGCGTTCTCTGCACCGGTCCAACTTATCCTTGTTTGCCAGTAACATATATGCTGACACGCGCACTTCTAAAAATAACTGCATGTCTGCCGATCTTAACCCGGATTGTAACCACGTAATCAACACACAGTGATGACGTTTTATGGCTAGCATGTTTCTTCTCAGCTTGGTTCCCGGGGTCTGTTGCGCCTGCGCAAACGCTCTGGCACTGAGCGTTAGCGCAGCAGACCCCGGGAACCAGGCTGATTTCTTCTTTCTTGATAAGTAAACTTTGAAATGGCTTATTTTCGTGATTAGCACACAAACGGCTACATTCCTTAATTAATAATCACTACATTTCGTGACAGGGTTTCCAGTAGCGAGGCGAACACTGTCTACACAACCGGTAATTCGCAGATGTAGTCAGAAAGGCCTGTGCAGTGAGCTGTTTTAAAGTACACGGCTCCAGAAATGGCCACCACCCCGCACATGTCCCCAGAGACCGGGTGTCCAGGCTTCCAGTTGACACCCGACAGGACCCGTCCATCCACCCAAGTGAATGCGGCATTCGCAGCTGATTGGTAGAATCCCGTCCAGACGTAGTACCCTGAAAAATAGTGGCGAACAAAATACAACATTAGTCCTTCAAACATCTGTACTCGTTTCAAGATGGTGAAATTATTGGTTTATGTTTGTTTGTTGTTTACCGCCGCACAGTGAGTGAGTGAGTGAGTGAGTTCAGTTTTACGATGCACTCAGCAATATTCCAGCTCAATGGCGGCGGTCTGTAAATAAACGAGTCTGGACCAGAAAATCCAGTGATCAACAGCATGAGCATCGATCTACGTATTTGGGATACGATGACATGTGTCAACCAAGCCAGCCCACTCGATCCCGTTAGTCGCTACTGCTACAAACATGGGTTGCGGTAGACCAATTCTAACCCGGATCTTCACGGATCCTAATTGTTTGAAGGAAAACATCGTGCTAAATCTAATATCCAAGAAGAGCTTATTGTTTGCTGTTTAATGCTGCACTCAGTGTTCTAGGTATATGACGGAGGTCTGTATATAATCGAGCCAGGACCAGACAATTAATTCAATTGATTGACATCCTGAACATCGATCTACACGACTGGGATTCGATATTATGTATCAGTCGGGTCAGCGAGCCTGACCTTCCGATCCCGTTAGTGGTCTCTTACGACAAGCATGGGTTGCTAAAGGCCAATTCTAGACTGCCTTTGAAGAAGTAGGTAAAATATTACGAATTAAACACAGGGAAAACAAAACCATAAATTTAGAACAATATTTTGGACTGATGACATGAAAAGCACAACTCAAGAGTAAGAGATCAAGTTTATCATATGGTTGATTTTCAGCTGGAAATATCTGATGATAGCGATATCATAAAACACGAGCTGTACTAGAGCTCAACTCACCGAAAGACGAATACAGTGTTTTATATACCTAAACTGTTATTCTTATTGGTACCCCTTTTATTATGTGTATATTTTAATGTCTTATCTCCTTTTTGTCTTTTAAATACGTTTATGTCATACTCTTATAATGTTTTAGTATTTTTGTATTTATATGTCTCTCATAAATCGCTGGGCGATTGGTTGTGTTTTTTTATAACTTTGTACATATTTTATGAACTGTAGCACGTACACAAGTGAGACGATAATAAAACATTGATTGATATACACGGTTTTCCTTCTTAAAAACAATTTAATTGAGGACAATTAACATTTTTTCTCACATTATACAACTGCTAATAGGCTACCCGTGAAGATCCGGGTTAGAATTGATCTTCAGTAACCCATGCTTGTCGTAGGAGGCGAATAGCGGGATCGGGTCATCAGGCTCGCTGACTTGGTTGATACAGGTCATCATATCCCAGTTGCGTAGATCGATGCTCATGCTGTTGATCACTGGATTATTCGATTATTTACAGACCGCCGCCATATTGCTGGAGTATTGCTGAGTGCGGCGTTAAACTGAACTCACTCACTCACTCGCTAATAGGCATCTTAGACATGTTATCGTTGAGAAGCAATGTCCTTTTCACGACACAAACTTACAACATTTCTACCGAGGAAGATGGCATGTGTTCGCTAAATTTTCATTTCTTATCCTTTTTGTTCAATAAATCGATTTATCTGAGCACAAGATTATCCAGTGTCACACAGTTCGCGTGTACCAATTTACTACCCTTAGTAGTGCGCATGTTTTCTGCGCAGCTCTACTCAATCTTTGTGTTTTTGCCTCAACTTCGCATTTTCTATGCTAATACCTAATTGTACAAAACTCACTACATCTAAATGTACATTTTTGAACTATAGTTCGTGCTCTTTCTATACATATATCGCACTTTACTGACTGTATGTATTCTTATAAGGTTGCTGTAGATATGTTTGGGCGAAACTAGTACATATTCTGTTAATCAGCCGGACAGCTTTAGTTCAGTCTAAGTAAACTTCGGCTCAATAATACTCAGCCTAAGTTTACTTGGACTGGGTTTAGTTGGCGATGCTGATACAGGTGTCTTCTCCGAGGTCCGTGCTTTGTTGTTTTTATAAAGACGGGTTGTGTAGGCCTACGGATCAACGCTTATAAAAATGATCAAAATGACTAACACACATTTCAAACGCAATCGGAATAATTTACCCTTAATGGAACGAACCTATGACCTCTGTCAGAATAACTGCGTTGGTGATGAATACCATGCACTTTTGTGTTGCGATTACTTAAACGAATATATACAAATAACCGTTATCGCCATACTTTTATGTTCACCCAAAAACTTAGTACTCTAGTCAAAAGTAAGAATACATATGTACTTAGAAAGTTAAGTAAATTCTGCTGTCTCCTCGTGCTGAGCTATAAGTCCTCTAGATTAGCAAATACACTCCTATATCCATTTTTAAATGTTTTTGAGTTAGTGTGTGCAAAAATATAGCCAATTGTTTTGTTTTTTAAAATAATATTGTACATTAAACTTCATATGCCACTGATAGTGGCCTGAAAGTAATAAATGTTCTGTTCTGTACCTCAAAGCAGCCCCAACACATTAGCCCACTACCACATCCCACCACAGGACTTCGTGTCTTTGCGAGGAATAAAGGTTAAAAACCTATTCTTTTTTTAGATGACCCCCGACTTGAAATGCTTCACAGTACAATACATCATGACCTTGTCATGATTTATTGAACTGTGAAGCATTTCGAGTTTGGACTTTGTCATGATTTATTGAACTGTGAAGCATTTCGAGTTTGGACCTTGTCATGATTTATTGAACTGTGAAGCATTTCGAGTTTGGACCTTGTCATGATTTATTGAACTGCGAAGCATTTCGAGTTTGGACCTTGTCATGATTTATTGAACTGTGCATTTCGAGTCGGGGGTCATCTCAATTTATTTTTATATCTTTTTAAATCTTTAATCCTCGCAAAAACACGAGGGCCTGTGCATCACACCCCTTCCCCATAAAACTTCATATTGTTTTTGTCATTACCCTTTAAACGCTCTTCTTAACTTGACCGGGCCAGTGCATGTGTTTTCCATTCTTTGCAAAGTGGACTAATTTCGTCGTGTTTTTATTTATTGAGCAAGGGGTGACCTCTGGACAAGTGCCTGTGTGTCTATATAACAAGGGGTAACCTCTGGACAAGTGCCTGTGTCTATATAACAAGGGGTAACCTCTGGACAAGTGCCTGTGTGTCTATATAGCAAGGGGTAACCTCTGGACAAGTGCCTGTGTGTCTATATAGCAAGGGGTGACCTCTGGACAAGTGCCTGTGTGTCTATATAGCAAGGGGTAACCTCTGGACAAGTGCCTGTGTGTCTATATAACAAAGGGTAACCTCTGGATAAGTGCCTGTGTGTCTATATAACAAGGGGTAACCTCTGGACAAGTGCCTGTGTGTCTATATAACAAGGGGCGACCTCTGGACAAGTGCCTGTGTGTCTATATAACAAGGGGTGACCTCTGGACAAGTGCCTGTGTGTCTATATAACAAGGGGTAACCTCTGGACAAGTGCCTGTGTGTCTATATAGTAGGCGGTAACCTCTGGACAAGTGCCTGTGTGTCTATATAACAAGGGGTAACCTCTGGACAAGTGCCTGTGTGTCTATATAACAAGGGGTAACCTCTGGACGAGTGCCTGTGTGTCTATATAACAAGGGGTAACCTCTGGACGAGTGCCTGTGTGTCTATATAACAAGGGGTAACCTCTGGACAAGTGCCTGTGTGTCTATATAGCAAGGGGTAACCTCTGGACAAGTGCCTGTGTGTCTATATAACAAGGGGTAACCTCTGGACAAGTGCCTGTGTGTCTATATAACAAGGGGTAACCTCTGGACAAGTGCCTGTGTGTCTATATAACAAGGGGTAACCTCTGGACAAGTGCCTGTTTGTATATATAGCCAGGGGTAACCTCTGGACAAGTGCCTGTGTGTCTATATAGCAGGAGGTAACCTCTGGACAAGTGCCCGTGTGTCTATATAGCAGGAGGTAACCTCTGGACAAGTGCCTGTGTGTCTATATAACAAGGGGTGACCTCTGGACAAGTGCCTGTGTGTCTATATAACAAGGGGTGACCTCTGGACAAGTGCCTGTGTGTCTATATAGCAAGGGGAAACCTCTGGACAAGTGCCTGTGTGTCTATATAGCAGGAGGTAACCTCTGGACAAGTGCCTGTGTGTCTATATAACAAGGGGTAACCTCTGGACAAGTACCTGTGTGTCTATATAGTAGACTAACGTAGTCTTTTTATCTTTTTAAAAATATATGCGCCTCGTCACGAATATGACACATTGTTTTCACTAAGTAACACTGGATCTACAACCGCATAAAAATGGTGCTTAGAAAAGCACATTAAGCTGTTTAAATGGACTCATGTGAGCGTTCACAAGACCGGAATATGAGCACTAATTGAAGGTTTAATTGTAACAAACTAAAGTTCACTACAATTACCGTAAAATAGGTGAAATAAGTATGGCTGCCGGGGTCGTTACAACTGACACACAACACAGTCCACATTTCATTAATGTTGAACACACTAGTAAGGTCCACAATGACTGGCTAACTCAGTATCTGGTGTAACCGCCACCCACTTGGATAGCAGTTTCTACACGAAGTCTCATTCTCCAGCGCGACGTTAAACCCAATTTCACCTCACCTCATGCTGGCCACCAGACGTCTGATTCTCTGTTAGGGGATCTGCTGCCACTCATCATGCAATGTATGGGTCAATTCCTGAAGGTTAGGAACTGGAGGATCCCTTGCTCTCACGCTACGTCCCAACATGTACCACAAATACTCAATAGGACTCATGTCTGGACTTCTGGCTGGTCATGGTAGAGTGTCAGTGGCATTGTGTTGGAGATGCTGAACAGCTCGAGCACGATGTGGTCTGGCATTATCGTCCATGAAGACTGGACGTGTGACGAGAGCATGGTTATCGAAATGAAGCACTACAGCACCGTCCAGGATCAAGTTCGGTTATCTCTGTCCATTCAATGCCCCGGGAACTGTGATGAGGTCAAGTTTACAGTCATGGGAACAACACCCCCACACCCTGACAGACCCTACCCCCACACCAT